GTAGTGATTCCTGTTTTCAGCCTCCCAAGCACTGTCGCATGCTACCACACCCAGTCTCAATTGCCCTCTCAGTGGGCCCTGGGGGTGGGCCAGCAGGGCAGGCTGGGGATCAAAACCCCAGCCCCTGTATCTGCCTAAACAGGCATTTTAATCCCCTGAGCTATCTGCTGGCCCTTAGTGAAAAATTTTAGAATGATATAGTATGTGTAGATTTATATTTGTATAGGGTAACATGGGGACTTGTTGGTGTCATGGTGTTCTCTGGGGAGAAATGGCAATAGGAATGAAGAAAAGATAGAAAAGACAAGATCTGGGTTCAGGTAGAGGTCTGTGCAAAAGACCCAAACAACAACAGTAGAGTCATTTATTTATACCCTTGCAAAGTTAATATAAGATACAAGGTTGCCTAGCGATTAATAGCAAAATTGTCCAGGCAGAATGTTTTTCTCAAGACTGAGGTAGCTTGACTGCTTTAGGTACTAATGCCTTGACTGCCTTCTCACATATGATCATTTTTCAGCTTCAGCCCTCCCAAGAGGGTAAAGCTACAAAGAACATGCCATAGAATTTATATTTAAATTCTCTAGGTTAAACAAAATGACTTACTCCAAACAACCAATAACTTTCTGAAATTGTTAATAAAACAAATCATGGAAAATTATATTTTCTAATATTTTAACAAAATAGTCATTTCAGATTTTCATCTCAGATTTTTATATTATACAGAACCAAAATTGGATTCATTTAATATGAAATTTCTTTTAATGTAAAAGAATAACAGATAATTAAAATATTTGCTTTAAAATATAACCAACCTGTGAGGTCTGATCAACATATACAAGAATATTTAAATTTTAAAAGTGTGTTATAGTAAAAGATACATAGCAATATGTCTTAATTAATTAAAAAAATAAGCATTGTATTTTTTAGTCACTCTTGATATATGATACATTCTTTGAAGCTTGAAGCTGTCTAAATGATTAGGAACTTTTTCTAAAATTCTTTTAAAACCCTCTGCTAAAAGGTTATTTATGAAATAAAACTGCTAGGTATGGTGGCAGATGCCTGTAATCCCAGCCCTGGGGTAACTGAGGCAGGAGGATCACTATGAGTTCAAGGCCAGCCTGAACTGCATAGTGAAACTCTGTTTCAAAAAGACAGAAAACCTTGGGGGACTGAAAACAGGAGAATCACTAGGACTCCAATCTGTGGAATGAGACCCTGTACTACAATATATAAAAGAAGTACATTTTGGGCTGGTCAGATAGATTAAATCACCATCTTAGGCAGATACAGCAACTTGGGTTTGATCCCTGGCTGCATGCCAGCCCTCCCCCAGGGTGTACTGAGATGGCAGAATGAGGTGGCATTGAGGTG